TTCGATACAGTCAGATTACTCTTGGTCAGCCACTTTTTCTTGATAACATCGACGTGCTTTCCGTACACAGAAAGAGGGGGAAACAATTGAAGGGTGTCTCGTCCGACTCGTCTTCAAGAGGGCATTGCCAAATAAAGTCCCCGCGACGAATGTGCACAGCTATAAACTGGTCAATGGAAAGCAAGATCAGCCTCCTCGTCGACAATCAAAGAGAAAGGGGTGAACCTACAGGTGGCAGGTCGTCCAAGGAACCCGAAAATTGGAACGCCCGCGATATATAGTCGCGTCCGAGTTGCTTCAGAGTCTGCGTATATGGTAGATTTCGACCAATCTTTTTCCAGGCTGGTGACCAGGATTTTTGCCACTCCCATGCCTGTGCACCTGATGTCGCAAAATATAATGAATCAAAACATGAGAGATGAGCGTCAGGTGTTCTTTGGTGGCCCTTCGGAGATTTTTGAAGATTCTTTAACTTGTCTGGCTCTACAAGAGGATCTTCTGGATATATCGCGGCAGCTACCTGAGGGAACACGACATGGATTTCATCCCGGTCGGAACTTGGGAAACGAGTGAACAACGGAATCTTGGTATACGAGACGTCCATGCCGAGATGTCGCACGATAGTTTCCGGCTGCATCACAGTCTTTTGGCTTTCTTGGGCCGTTGTCCAACAGCCTATGGCTTCGACTTCCCGGGTAGAATATGGCCCTGTAGAAGAGCGTGAAGGAATTTGTTTGACATCTCGCCATTCGAGCACGGGTGTTTGAAGCTTCTTTCGCAGATAATCCAAGTCAAATATGTCACCAAATGGAACGATTCCTGCAGAGCCCGCTAAATGAACAGCATGACATCAGGAACTAATGAAAAAAAAAACACATCAAGACACTCACGTATGTGTTGGCTAGGTGCAAAAGGAGGGATAATGGGTATTCGATTGGTGATTGTACCGAGGTAGACCATGTTGACCTACTCACAAGGAAGATTACTTAGAGATGCCACGTATATTGAATCTCTACACACATAACCCATGAATTCGTTAGCTAACGTTTTGGTCAGTGTAAAAGATTATATGTAAACTGACGCATATACGCACTATATCCTGAATTGGCCCAACTGGTGATATACCATGAATCATTCCGAATGTTATCTATTATGACAGTCGTTCAATTAACTGTATTTGATTTGAGGTAAGCAAGATGCAAGGCAATTCTCGCCTCTAAATCTGGCTGTAGGGATCCAAGGAGTGGTTGAGGCAACTCGTCGGTAGTCACTTGAACATCTGCGCATGTGAGGGAGGTTGGCGACGGTGTGATTTTGAGGTGTTTTAAGGAGCTCAGGATAGGCCATACAAACCCCGCGTAGGTCAGAATGGTAACCAACAGAAGAAAACCTAAGAAGGGCTTTCTGATTCTACCAAGAGCCATGCCTATCGAAGGGTGGGGAAACGAACTGAAATGAAGAAAGGGCGACAGACCCCATTTCGTTATCTAATCTTATCTGTCACATTGACTGATGGTTGTAAAGTCAGAAGGATTCTCTCCTTTTCCCACTGCTTCACTTGGGTTGCCCTTGACATGAAACAGGCCTGCCAGTCAACTGTACTAGGCAAACGCAAAGCCACGAGGCAAATTGACACCCTGGTGTTGCACCTCAGCCCAACACCAACCTCTGAGACACCTCTCCCCGACCAGTCTGACTGTGAATCTTCTGGTCAACAGGCGTCGACATCAAAAGGCTTGCCTATAATTATCAATGGTCAACTCGTGGAAGACACGAAGAGGCGCTATCGTTGCATGTTCAAGGGCTGTGAAAAGGCCTATACCAAGCCCTCACGTTTAGAGGAGCACGAACGCTCACATACGGGCCAGGTATGTTATTTTGTGCTCAGCCTGCAAAGCCCGCTTCTCAACTCGTTGTAGCGGCCATTTGTCTGTGAAACGTGCGGAAACTCATACTTGCGGGAAACACATTTGCATGCCCATGCACGTTCCCATCTTCCCGAGACATCACGGCCCTTCGTTTGCGAGAGAGACAACTGCGGAAAGCGTTTCTGGACTTCCCAGCATTTACAAGTACATCATTCATGGCATGACGGTGCCAAACCCTATAAAGTACTCTCGACCAATACTCGTTTCCAGAGGCACTGATTGAGTTACACTGCTGTAGTGTAACGAAGTAAATTGCCATGAAGCATTCGCCAAGCATCATCTACTACGAGCCCACGTCTGCTCAGAACACGCTCCCCCTGGCACCAAACCCTACCGTTGCGAACATGAAGGTTGCACGAAATCCTTCGATACTAACCAACACCTGAAAACACACCAAAAGACACACGATGGTGCCGTAATTATCACATCTCCCTCGGATTCTTGACTGACAGTTTTTAGGCAAACGTTACACGTGTGTGCATGTCTCTTGCCTTGCAGGTGTAGATGACGCCCCGACTTTCTTTCCCACTTGGTCTGCTTTGCAATCACACATGCGAATGAGACATCCCCCAACTTGCTCACATCCATCGTGCAATGGTCGCACCTTTGCAAACCAGACTAATCTGAGGGCCCATTTAAAATTGCACGAGGAGCGCGAAGCAGACATAGAAATGGACAATGGCGTAGAATCGGACGACAGCAGCGATCAAGCAGTGAGAAAGAAAAGAAGAGGTGGCGAATATTTCAGGGATTGGCAGTGCGAGGTCGGCGACTGTGGGAAAGACTTTAAATCCGTATGTTTCTGCGGCGATCTTTACTGCTACTCAACTGATACCGTATAAACAGAAAAAGGCTCTCAATACCCACACGAATGTCACACATCTAGGAAAGCGCGATTTCACCTGCGACTATGCCGACTGCAACCACTCTTTTGGTTACAAACATCTCCTTCAGCGCCACCAAGCAAAGGTCCATCAATCTGTTCATCCAGTAACAGATTTTTCCGGTGAAGATCCTTCGGAAACTGAAGCTCAAGGAGGTCACGAGGCGACCTTCGACATCGACATGATCACCGGAAATGCATACGCGAAACGGGCGGAAGCTAATGTGAAGAATTCTAAAGCCCTACGTTGCCCATTCCCTTCCTTGCAAGATTTGACAGGTGACCCCTGCTCTGTGAATCCTGCATCACATAGTATTGCTGCATGCGACTATGTCTTCAGCCGAGGCTATGACTTAAGACGCCACCTTAGTGCATCCCATGACGTTATGGTATCAAAGGAGACCATAGACAGTTGGGTTAGACGGCAAAAGCAAGGCAATCTCTCTAAAATATTCGTTGGGGACTAACACATCGTATCTATTTTATACCCACGGGCCACTGCCATGCACGTATCTCATGTCACTAATATTAGATTTATGCATACTCTTTAGAGAATGTTAATTTAGGGACATCATCTCTAGATCTTGTGGGCGGCTAAAGTCTTGACTCTTTAGTCATCTTTAGAGCTTTAACGTTAACCATTTAAGTTTGTACCCGGGTACGTCTGGTTTTTCTTCTTTCTTCCATTACTTTGGTGGTGAACAATGCTCGGTAAGCGTGATGACCAGTCACACATGGCGTCACTGCATGTCACAACCATTTTCTTGAGACATCGCGTTTGTGCCCTCCACACCACCAATATGTAAAATTTCTTGTTGTGTATTTAATAATAAGAAGTGTTTTCATGAGCCTACATGATCCATTTTTTGAGAAATGTATTATCTATCCCCAAAATGCGAAATCAGGCTGAATTGCCTGCCAAATATGGGCCTCCAGAGTGTCTGAAAAATATCTCCTCAACCACAACACTTATGAACATTGTTGGCAGATGTATTTTGCTTAGAATTGAAATTCAAATCGACTGACACGATCCGATTTTTTATTAGTGGCCCCTGTTCCGAGATAGACCCATAAAACAGGTACTTTGAGGTGGTTAGGGGCCATAAATAAAAATTCTGGTCATGTCAGGTCGAAGCCACATTAGAATAAAACATTTCGCTCCTGCAAAGCTAGTCCATAATCTCCTCCGTTGCGAAGTTATAGCTTGCGCACTGTTGCCTGCGAAATAGGGCAGAGCACAGCCACTGATCCGGCGCCAAAATGACGGATGGGCGGCTCTTGGTATCTCCTCGCGATGAGTACTCAGGTGTACCCAGGTCAAATTATTTTGATTTCTCTGTCCACCATCACCCCCAACTGAGAAATATCTTAATCTGGGGTATTTTCTTCCCTAATTTCGCATTTTTCACTCAAAAAAAACATCCTACACAGCCCAGTATGAGAATACCTCATACTTTCAGCAATATAAATCTCATGAATTCCATATAGACTAGATTATAGACTATATTTTGTTGTTTCACAAGGCGCGCAGGTACCCTGTAGATACTAAGAGCCGCCCATCCGTCATTTTGGCGCCGGATCAGTGGCTGTGCTCTGCCCTATTTCGCAGGCAACAGTGCGCAAGCTATAACTTCGCAACGGAGGAGATTATGGACTAGCTTTGCAGGAGCGAAATGTTTTATTCTAATGTGGCTTCGACCTGACATGACCAGAATTTTTATTTATGGCCCCTAACCACCTCAAAGTACCTGTTTTATGGGTCTATCTCGGAACAGGGGCCACTAATAAAAAATCGGATCGTGTCAGTCGATTTGAATTTCAATTCTAAGCAAAATACATCTGCCAACAATGTTCATAAGTGTTGTGGTTGAGGAGATATTTTTCAGACACTCTGGAGGCCCATATTTGGCAGGCAATTCAGCCTGATTTCGCATTTTGGGGATAGATAATACATTTCTCAAAAAATGGATCATGTAGGCTCATGAAAACACTTCTTATTATTAAATACACAACAAGAAATTTTACATATTGGTGGTGTGGAGGGCACAAACGCGATGTCTCAAGAAAATGGTTGTGACATGCAGTGACGCCATGTGTGACTGGTCATCACGCTTACCGAGCATTGTTCATCACCAATTACTTATTGATGACAATGATGTATAAATCTGCATAGCGTCAAGGAGCATCAAGGTGCTATAGTGTAGTGGTTATCACTCAGGATTTTGAGATCATATTCCTGGAACCCAGGTTCGAACCCTGGTAGCACCTCTTTTTCTATATTTGACACAATCTATAGATTAGATCCTCTTCAGAATTTTTGTTCAGATTCCAGAAGCGGTAGTTTGTTTCCTCCCATATTCCGAAGCCCGTTTTCTCCGTGAGTCTGTACCCACGGCTCGGTGTATTAGGTCTTCCGCATGGACATTGCGGCTGCTGTTTATTTGGGCCAGACCTTTACAAGTACTTAGCATACAAGTGCTGAGTGTGGTCATGACAATTTAAATAAAACTTCTAGGCAAGATCTTGTGCAACTGTTCATTCCTCATTTTGAGGGTGAAGTAAAGGCATATTTTGTCTAAGTATTGTTAAGATGCAAAGCAGTATCTTACAGATCGCAGAACTCAGAGTAAGAAAGAAAAATTCGTCAGAAACAGCACCCTCAGAGATGGTGCTATTATCGTGTCGTTTCGTTAGTCACGAGGTGCGATTCCAACGCGAAGAGGTAGATTCTCTCCTTTCAGCTGTTCGCCTTCAAGTGTGGGTAACATCACCAGACATGCCTCCCTCCTGAGCCGATGAATGTCGGGAGTGAGGGAGAGCTCGAAGTTGTTAATGATTTCGACCGTCAGAGCCAGGACTTCATATAACGCAAACCTCCATCCGATGCAGGCTCTAACGCCCCCGGCAAAAGTAAGTCTGGGATGAGGCGATCTTAGCATTATAGCCCAGAAGCAGTGCAAGGGTACCATACAGGTTTCCATATACGCCGAGAGTCGGGCCTTTCTTCTCTCCAGACTGCCGGAACCATCTGTCAGGATTGTAGACATGAGCATCTTCGCCAAATAGATCGGTGTTTCTATCGACAGGACGATTAGAACGTCGGCATTGCCCGGATATAATTTGAACTAACCTGTTGTACGCTGCTATTGACAGGATGACTTTCATGCCTTTAGGAATTGGGAGAGTGGTTATGGTTCTCCCATCTGTCGTCCTGATGGGCGTCGACAGCGGCAAGACATCGTCCTTTGCGGCCTGGCGATAATTTTGATACAAAGCCGGATGGAACCGCATTGATTCCTAATGAGTCATGGTAAAGGTGCATACATACAATCGATGGTGGCAGCATACCTTAATTACAGCCGACAGGTACTGCATGTTATCCAAATCAGCGGCGGTAAAATCGGTACCTCCGCGAGCGTGAATCGCTTGCTCTGTTGTCCTGATCTCATCACGGAGCTTCTGCTGTACATCCTGGTTTCTGGCAAGCTCCAAGAGGACCCAACACAAAGTCGTGGCGCTGGTTTCATGCCCAGCCAGTAGTATAGTACTAGTGAAAATTTAAGTTGTAGTTTTATAATGAAGGCAGGAATATGACAGACCGCATTTGTGCAAGCATTTCTTCTTCTGTCAGACGCGTACTGGATTGCTCAGACGCATTTGCTTTGACTACAGCTAAAAGTAAGTCGAAAAGCATAATCGCAGCGATTAATCACCCACTGAGTAACGACAGAACGTCTTTGTTTCCTTTACCCTGCAGGAGGGCTTCGGCTTTGGATTCCACGAGTTGCCGGGTAACTGCGTCTGCAAGCTCTGCTGTGTGCCGCGCATGGACAAGATTTCTTGCGCGTGAATACTTGGACATCAACTGGAGTACCCAAACAGGGAAAATAGTTTGCATGAAGATGGCGGATTTAGGGGGTGAGCCAAGGGTATCGGACCTAAGAAAATCAGTCAATAAGTGAAAATAAAGATCCGATGGACAGTCGTGAAATTCACATAAGCCCAAAGTAAGCTTTCATAAAATCATTATCGTTGTTCGAGAGTGCGCCAAATTGATAATCAAAGGCAGCTATTAAACAAATAAATCATTTTGCTCCTTCTCTAAAATGAAGTGGGATCTAATATACCTTCACCGATCGAGTCCATCGTGGCGCGTGAAAGCCACGAAGCCACGTTCATAATGGCCGTTTGATCCGGGGAACTGGCGAGGATGTCAGTCCATTGCGCCGTTAGCTGTAAAGAATTCCGTTTACCTGACGCTGTTCAAAAGAGAGGTGGAGACTTACCTCTGAGGCAACACGACGGAAGATAGGAACAAAGGCTTTGGACTCGGGTGCTTGACAGATATCAATGAAGGCTTGCCTTACTGGAGGGCGCTTGCAGTTACATACCTCCAAATCCAGGAAGCATGACCTTCCGCTGCCGTTTATGGATTTCAGCTATGAATATTATCAAGTTGGGAGCATGTGCAAGGTCACGTAAATATTGGTGTCGTACCATCAGCCCATAGCAACCCACGGCCCATTAAGATGCGAGATATCTCAGTTCTTTCAGGCCACTTGAGAAACCCGTAACCTGGAATAGCATTGATAAACTGGATAATATTTTTTCCGTGTGATGCACGCACCCGAAGTATGGAAAATATACTGAAGCGCTTTAGGGTCAGAAATAAGCAAGCGGTCCTCCTGTAAATTGCATGCCGTCAACGCTACGCGTCGTAGAAGCTCGTTAAAGGGTAATCTTACGCCAAAAGGCCCCTTGACGCGAATCACATCTCCGTAAAGCTGTTGATATTTGAAATCTGGTACACCCGCTTGACTCTGAAATATTTCTGGCAGGTTACCTAGATTCAAACGACATTATACCTGGACGAAGATAAGGGTTTCATCGGATAAAATTACATACCGAGAAGGAAAGACTCTGATTCGGGGCCCGGAATGTGCGACACTGTGATACGAGTCGCTCTTCGGTAGGCGAAAAGCAGCAGGACTGCAAGCGCGGACGAAAGAACTAGAGTCTTTACAGATTTCCATGGAACACGGTCAGTGCCAGACCAAAATGTATATCAGACAATCTCGTACTGTAGTCGCATTACTTCCCCATGCCTGGAAGTAATGTTCTGGCCCGTGAAATAGCTCTTGGACTTGCTGTGCCGGAGAGAACATCCCAGAACCCGATAGACAGAGTTTCGAGCAACAGAAAACAGAGAATAGCAGCGTTCGGGCCTTCAAGCTAGCTTCAAGCGTCAAGAGCTATATAAGTTGCTGGTTGGAAAGAAAGGGAGATAGGCAGAGACGCATACACCGAAACCACGCTGTTAATGTATATGATGAGAATGGGATACCCCATGGCCATGGTGAGCAGATGATGAATTATTTCATGTGACTTTGGCAGAGAGCATGGGCACTAGAAACAGGCCTGCGCGCAGATAGAGACAAGTAAAGCACTGCCGGAGGAAAGCAAGGGGTCCGATCAAAGGTTATTGCGGTCATGCGAAATTGGTTTATCCAGATCATTTCTTCCCATATTCACACGTGATCCACCCCCCATGATAATCCGTTTATTATTAAGACTCAGAGGCTGCCACAAATTGGCCGCAAATTAAAAATATATAAGTAGAAAATTAGGGTACATACATTGCCCAAGTCGTGGAAATTATTATACGAGGATCCAAAGGGGTTCCTGCCTCGAGGAGAGGTAGACTTTTCATCCCTGCTTCGCATTATTCCTTTTCTTTTTATTAAGCCCAAAGTAGCCCGCAAGTCGCTTTCGGTTGGTCTGCAAGCCGTAATCTATCATTCCTTCGACTTGCTCCCAACAGTGTTTGCATAGATGTGCCTGCAGGATATCGCATGCTTTCCGTGGTAGAATTTCAAGGGCGTTGGGTCCTTCGAGATATCGAGATATGTCGTAGGCAATGAAGACCTGTCGCAGGAACCCATAGCAGTACAAGCCATGACTCTGGCGCCATTGAGTACACTCGGGAGACGCCGTTTGGAGCCCATAATCCGCCATTATGAGGGAGATCCAGAAGAAAGTCACCCGACGACGGGACGTTCGGAGCATTTCACGCCCACCAAGGACAACGAGGGTGTCTTTATCTGAGAGTTTAATTAACTCATCTCCGTCCCGAACGCCGTTGACGATATCAACCACGGATAACTGAGCCGCATGGTAATATGCCATGGGTAACATTTCGTCCACACCGGTGTCGTGGAATAATGCTAGTGCCTGGATGGGGAAGACACGACGGAAGTTCCCTCGCCTTTGCAAGCTAAGGCCAGCAATAATAGGGTGATGAGGAGATGGCTCAAGGGTACTCGGGAATAGACATTCAAGGGCCTTTAACGCTGCTCGGCGGACGTTCTTGAGATCCAATGCGTGGCTGGTTTTCAGGAGGGATACTGCAGCATCCCAATGAAGCCAATCATTGCAGTCAGGAAGTGTCCTGGAGAGGGTACTGTGCCACCGTGTATTAGAATTTCAGGTCGACAGTAAAGCAGTTGAAACAGCTTACATTCTCCCATATATGTGCGCAAGAAGGAATCTGAAACTTCGCACCGAAAGATCAGAAAGTCTGATCAGCGGAAGCCCGTAGATAATCTCGGTCGTGGCTGGATGTTTCGCGGGGGAGTTGAGATAGGCAAGTTTACCGCCCTGCGCTCCCAGCTTTTCTTTGTGAACACAAAAGAGGATATCGCCAACGACAACAAATATGTTTCCGTCCTCGTAGTAGAAATTTTCGTCCGGAGTGTATGGATTTTCCAGGCTATCTTCCGACTCCGACTCCTCTGGCTGGGATGAGTCTGGAGCTCTATCGTCGTCGGAAGCAACCTTGTCTAAAGTAGGGCTTGCGGCAGTTCTAAGTTTCTTAGTCGGAATGCCGTCGATAGGTGACGGGTTATGAGATTCCTCTTCGCGTTCTTTGCGCTTGCGGCCGTTGAGTGCAAGAGGTTGAGTGGCAGAATGTGGCATGATGAGGTGACAGAAGGAAGGTAAGTCGTGGGTGGAACGAACCTCGAAATCAGGAGAATATAAGTATCGCTATGTCGGACTACAAATTATTGGGCCATATCATAGCTATTGTTCACATTTCTCATTGTTCTTCGAATAAGTACGATGCATCTTGTTGTGCCGGCAGTGGCTTGGAGGTCAAAGCTGGGCCAAGTAGTTGCCAATTTTGGCAACAAGTCAAGCGATCATATCACGTGCTGTCGGCTGCCTGATTCGTCATTCCTGTTAAACGCGCTTCCATCATGACCACCACC